AGCAGAGAAATCCTTACGCTTTTATTCCCTTCAGTGCCGGGCCGAGGTATAAAGAAACCTCTATGCGCCATAAAATTTTAGTAATGGCGTCACGCGAATAGTACTGAATATACTGTCACATCTGTCATTGTTGGACCCTTTTTTACGTAGGTCGTGCTTGGGACGAAAGTATGCAATGCTGGAAATGAAGATTTTACTGTCCACGATATTGAGGAAATATCGTATTACTTCTGACGTGGCATATCAAAATTTTCCTTTGCTAGCAGAGATTACTCTGAAAAGGGGCGACGGATTCAACATCAAGATCGAATCGCGTAAAACTTCATCTCACACAGGAGATACCATCTCCTCATAGGAATGAAAAAATCCAAATATGGCAATGTGTATAAGTGTGTGCGTGTGTATGTATATAAATGTAAGACTTGACAAGAAACCTATTTTTCATATTTAGAAATTTATTATTCATTTACATATATCAGACTATATGTTTCTTTCTGAGAATTTTTCTATTTTCCTTTCTAAATTGCGGTTGTATGATGCACATGTGGAACTATGGTATAAGTTGAAAATGTAAAGAAAATTGTAGATATAATAGTATTCTTTAGATCAGTTACATATAGCACGCTATCATTTAGGCTTTTGTGTCGATTATATATAATATTTAAGTACTAATATTTATATCTATATACATCTATGTTCATATACATACATTTATGTACATAATATATACATGTATGTAATTTCAAGGTAATAAAAGATAAAACAAATAATACTCTTGAGACTTCTCTTCTTTCTCGATGTGCGCTCTTTCCCGATACAAATTTCGTCTAATTCCTTAGCATGCCATACTGCGAATTACATCATTGTCATACAAACAACATTGTTCAGATTCGCTACTACTCGCCGATTACAGCAGGATCACCTGACATAAATGTCAAACGATTTGTGCACAGTTATGAGCAGATAGATTGTCCAATTCTCTAGACACGGTAATGTCGAAAATTTCGAATTTCGAATACGATTTCCGAATAATCATAACTGCTGATTATTCTGTGAATTGACAAAGATGTTCCAAAGCAGTAGTCACAATGCACAAAATTTTCAAAAAAGATGCATTTTATTCGAAATTTCTGACATCACTATGCCAAGGAAATGAGAAAACCTTTCCGTAAATGACTGTACGTGTGTAGAATTGGTAGTCAGAGAGGGAAAATATAATTTATAAATTATTTTAGGAATTGTACTTGTACGAAAACAACACAGCTGAAATTAATGAAATCAGATGACGTAAATTTTTCACTGGACGAATGGATGTCGGTGCATATTATCAATATGTTCCACGTCATATAATAATTGAGGAAGGAAATGAAAATCAGTTTTATAGTCTTTGATCTGAACCTTATAGAGTGTCAATATAACGGCCCGTGCGACATAATTCCGTTGCAACCAGCGAGTTTTTAAAACAACATAGGGTTTAATACAAAAACTATTTTCTAAACTCTCGGCAAAAAATGATTCTATCGCGGTATTTTCAATGTAATTTTTTGAATTTATTCAATTGTCCATTTGTATTGTCACAATAAATGAATCGTATACAAGGACCGTCAGGAAAAAAGAGAAAGACAGAACACATCGTACACATCGTAAACCAAAGAAGATCTATGATTGTGTTGAATTCTCACGTGATACGAGGAACGGTATAACTTTCCGTATTAACGTTGAAGATATATCTGTATGTCGAACACGGTGATAAGTTCGTAACAAACAGATAATTCGATCTTTATATCTCGTAATATGCATGTATTTATCTAGTGAAATCAATCATAATACTTTTACTTATTTAAATATTATTCTCACAGTTTCATCGATACGTGCTTATTCTAACGTTGCGACGGTCCGACTCGCCCGCGGTCGGTCGTCGAATGCGACATTCAAAGTTTAACGTCGCGTCGTGTCCCGGGTGAGCTCGTCAGATTGCCAGGTTCAGAGAGAGATGTAATCGTAGTTAGATGTGAAAACTAAATTAAATATATTCGTTCCTCATGATAATAACAGACAAGAAGGCCGAAATTAATAAAGATTCTGAAGTACAAATGCGCGTAAGACCAATCGGCGTGATTTGGTATTACGCTATTGTGAACAAACAAATTATATATTTGTATATATTTATTAGATTTATTAGATTCATGGATTATAAACAAAAAGGAACGCGGTAAGTACATACGCAGTATTTAGACGCGTTTTTGAATGTCGGTTTGCCTGTTTAGCTTCGATCGGCTTTTTATAGCTGCTGGCGATGCGGTTTTTACCGAGTTTTTCTGCCGACTTCTCTCGGTGCCATATCAGTCTTCAGCGGTAATTTCCAACATGGCTTTTTTATCGGCGGTTTCAATACGGCGCATATAATCACGAGTCAGCGCGCTTAATAATATCAACTTTGCAACCTATGCTCGCTCTTATCGAGATAATAAAGGAAAGATCCGTTATTTAAATAACCATAATCGAGCAGCTCGTGATATGTTTTCGCCTTTCAAGAAATTCTGCGTTCAACCAGTCGTCTAAACCGTCAGTCTTTCGGTTCATAGCATTTGGTAACATTTAACATGTTCTCCAATGCTTTCCATGCAGACATCGTTCGCTAATGCTATTCTCACACATTAAGCGAGTCTTTTAGGTATAATCTTATATATTAGAATTTGTCGGAAAAAACTAACTCGACCGCCTAATTAGAATTGAAAACTGGGAGCTGCCCGCGGTAATATTTCTGAACTCGTTCGGGTACCCGTCGCAATGGACGGCCATTCCCTCGCTTTCCAAGATCTCCGTCGCGAAATTACAGAAAAACTTCGCGGCCGCAGAAAATTCTCGGTCGTTGTAAATTTGGCGTTCCTCTTTCCTTTTGTCCCTTCATTTGATTCGTGAGTATTCTCATTTTGTTTCTGGTGTGAATCATTTATTAAAGTTATTTAGACATAACTTCAATTTGGAATTGAAACGAATTAAAGTATAGTTATTTAAATGTTAAACCGGTGTCTAAATTATTATCTCTCCCGTCACCTCTTCGACGTGTCCGCGGAATCCAGGAAGAATGTGTAAGAACCACGACGCTCTAATGCACAAACAAGCGATAAATTCTAGTCACTATTAGACAATTTAAAACTGAGCTGCCGAGGTGCCGCGCGAATGCCGGAGCGAAACCCGCAACCGATGCGGACGAGAATTGAGGTGACAACCTATAACGACTCATTGGCAAATAGACCGCAAAAACTAGTTGCGCGTAGAAAGAACCGGTCTATTTCCGCGTCAGTAGAAGTGCTTGGTAGTGGTACAATAAGCTTTGCCCCTATCGTTGTTAATCTTGATACATGTACGAAAAGATCCTAAAATATTATGGGTAAACATTCTCTGTTTGGGATGAAAAACCAAACAGAATTGAATACCATCCGAGCAGTAACAAATACGACAAATTTTAATATCGGATAAATAACGGGCATGATTAGGCAACATTCAAAATACATATATTTGTGTAATAATACGCCCAACATTAAAAACAGTAAGGAAGTATATGTAGTTAAATGTTGGTTCGCTTGCGGCATACCTATTCTCGCAAATTCCATGAAGATTATGACCGCGTAAAACAAGTATTTTGGCTGTACGTTCATACTATTGCAAAGACGGCCAATAAGACGTTTTTCAAGAAGACCAAATTTAAGACGATCGTTGATATGGGATCCAACTCTAAGTACCGCCTTTTAAGAGAAACATATGTTAAATTAGGTTACAATATCGATGAAGGTACGATTTGAAGAATATAATCATTCAATGAAATTGAGAAATTCAATATTTACGTGAGTAATTATTAGATGCGATTCTCCGCTACGTTACACGGGATATTGCATACACATCACTACGACGGATTGCCGCTGCAAGGGACATGTGAGAGAGTGCGCGCGATCAGCTTGATTTCGATCTTACTCGTTCGTACGTGCCATTGTAGCGGCAACTCGTAATAACATATATATTAATACAATATCCTGTGTGTTAGTTTCTCGATTAGCAACAACATCTTATTGTCGCTTTCTTCACTCAAACTACGTAAACTGCTCTACTTGTCATTGAGAAATACGTGGATCATGCCAAAGGGCGATTCGACAGGGCCAAACATCGCGGTACGTATGATCTAATTTTTTAATTTTTTATTTAATTTATGATATCAAGACTTTTAAGATGAAACAGGATTATATTGCGCGAGTGTTTACGTAATAGTGTCGATAATTTATAGATCCGTAACGTGCAAACTAGAACGATGAATTTCATTATTTTCCTCGATTGCAAAGTAACCTTGATTATAATTAATTTTTTACGGTGATATGCATTAGCATTCGATCGTTCAATATAAGAACTGACTACGCATGTAAGATAATGTATAAGTGCAATACTAAGAAAAATATCAGTCGTAATAAGTTTGTCTGTATTGTCGCAACGAGTCAGCTATATAAGAGTGGCGCAAAAGAAAAACACAGCACATATTATCCAATCCATCCAGTGTAAAAGTACCTGTGCGTAACGATGGACACTCTACTAATGGCGACATCATATCTACCGGATTTCAGATATACTCTGCTGGCAATAATCTTCACCACGTTGATCGCCTTACATTACTACATCGAGACCAGGCATGCTGAGCTCCTTTCATTGAAGTTATCACGTAAGTAAATGGTTCAACAACTAGAAACTCAATTAGAACCGAAAATCTCTATCGTCACATGTCCCACCTTATGCTTGAATCATAATCGTTCGTTGTAAATGAATGTGTTCAAATTACTGCCTATTTTCTTCCAGATCCACAACGTGTACCCATTATTGGACATGCATTACTCTATCGAGAATTTAATCCTGAAGATTTAATAATTACAGCCAGTAAATATTTCGCTAAATACGGTCCGGTAATGCCATTGCATTTAAAAACACAAGTTGATGTCTTCCTAACAGAGGCGCAAGAAATAAATATAATTTATGCAACTCTGAGCACATCGATAAACCCATGGAGTACAGGTAAATAAATCCAAGTCACTAATTGCCAGGCGGAACAGATAGTCAAAATATCGCGATAATGATAGAATATTGTTCGAAAAGTAAGTTTTATAGTAATGTTTTCATCATTTTTATGTCATTTTGACATCGTCATGATTTTTATTTCGTTTATAAGTTATTGGATCATTAATTAATATGAACTTATTTAATTTACAGCTTCTTCATATTGAAAAGCACCGGTATTACTCCCGAGTCTATTTACACCTAAATTCACACTCATCATATAGATTCCTTAAGCCGTGGCTCGGAGATAGTATATTAATCAATAACGGCGCCATATGGCTAAAATACAGCAAAACGATATTGGTCACGTTTTACATGCAAATATTAATGACATATGGGCCTGTATTTTATGAGAACACCCAGGATCTGGTGAGGTGACTTGGCGATGAAATCAACCAACTCAATCAATTGTTCATATACTCGAAATATTGCAAAATGCAACAGAAGACGATTGATACCGTTCAATCGCTGCTGAAGTTAATGATCCAAGAGAAAAAGAAGGACATCGAAGAAAAGTAGAAGAATAACATGCATAACATCGAGGTGGAGCATTCAACCAAGAACACGAAAGACGACATAAACACAAGAAATGCAACTTTCTGTTGCATTTTGCAATATTTCGAGAATTTGAACAATTGATCCCATTGTAAAAACGAGTTAAAGTGCCGTCTGTGCGATCTCGCCCAGTCTGACATTTAAATATAAATTAATATTATATAAATATTAAATAAGCTATTTCAAAACAACAACGTCAGAAACGCTGACTTCTTAACGGCCATTGCATAGTCAAATCCGATGTGTTGAACCTTCTCTCTGCTAACACCCAATGCTGTTTCCACTAGCATGTTAACAGCTA